AAAAAAAAAAAGGGGGAGAGGGGGAGGAAATGTAAGTTAAATAATAATAGATACAGGTAAAGGTGTATTTAAAAACCGTTTTGGCAGATAAAAGCAGTTTAACATTCCCTGCCCCGCCCCCCCCCGAGCCTTTAAAACAGTAGATAGAATCTGTGAGCTCCCATGAGCTCAAGTCAGCTGTGAATGTGGGTCCCTCACCCACCTTGGCCCTCTGCAAGTGTGTGACAAATGGGTAGCTTAGTCTCTTTGTAAGGCTCCTAGCAGTGAGTTCAGGACCTGTCCCTAGTGCTGCTGGATTACCTTGCCCAGCCTGGATGCTGGTGAGGGGGACGTGCTTGGTCCTGCTTCAACTTGATGTGCCATGCTTTGTACAAGCCCTTGGGATATCTGCCCCTTTCTAACTGGAGACAGCGGAGGAGTGGATGGGAAGTGGGTAGGGAGGGGGGATCAGGAGAAGAGGAGAGAGAAGAAACTGCAGTCAGTATGTAAAATAAATTTTAAAAAATGTTATTTAAATAAAAATTTTAAAAATGGATTGATTTACTGATCAGTTTAATCAACCTATTTCATCAACCCAGCAAGTAATAATGTCTGTATTACCAGACTGTTGTTCTAACTCATACTAAAACCAGCTTTCCTATTTGTATTGGGCATTTTATTTTGAGGGCACGAGGTCCTTAAACCTCTTTGCTATGATAATACATGTTTGTGGTGTGTGTGTGTGTGTGTGTGTGTGTGTGTGTGTGTGTGTATGTGTGTGTGTGTGTGTGTGTGTTTACTATATGTTAAATACTGTCTGAGAATGTTTGGTGTTTTGCACTGTTTTAATGTCCACATTGACTCTATGAGGCAGGCATAATTACTTTTCAGCCATAATGAAGAGTTATTGAGACGTAGGAGAATTAAATAATTCGCTAATCCTGTTTTATCTCCAAGAAGTTAAGCAGTAGGGAAAAGATTCACATTCAAGAAATTCAACTTCAGACCATAATTTGATTATTCACTTAAACTGGTTGTGTGTGGTGTGTGTGTGTGTGTGTGTGTGTGTGTGTGTGTGTGTGTGATCTGCCCTCGTGTTTCCAGGAGGAGGCATTTATAAATCATCCAATTTGGGTGTGATAACTGATTGTTTCTAAAACAAACATGGATATTTGCTCTTACTTGCCTAATTTACACACACACACACAAATGTTCTCTTACACACACAGTGATGCAGCTGCACAATTGTCTTCTAACTTTAAATTTTCATTTTTTTTTGAGAATTTCATACATGAGTACACTATAATTAATTTACACATGATTTCTACTCCTGTAAATCCTCATGTCTCTTCCCCACTTTTCCTCAAACTTCTTTTTAATTAATACTGCTGTGAACATGTGCATATCCACATATTACCGATTGAATCCATTTAGTCTTGCTCATATATACATGTGTTTAGGGCTGACTACTTGAAATAAGCTAATATCAGGAGGCTTGTTCCTAGAAAAACAAATAATTTCCCACATCAGCAGTCACTGAATAAATCTGACCAAAGAGGTAAAAAACCGCTACAGTGCAAACTTCAAATCTCTGAAGAAGAAATTGAAAAAGACATCAGAACATGGAAAGACCTTCTAAGCTCATGGATTTGTAGAATCAATA